CAGAAGTCCTCCCTTGTTCAACCTCACTAGCAAACGCTGGGCTATTTTTTTAACCCTTTCAACACTGCTGACGGGGGGGGGGAAGCTTACTGCCCTAGTTCCTCCCTTGTTCAACCTCCCTAGCAACCGCTCGGCTATTTTTTTAACCCTTTCAACACTGCTGACCCGGGGGGGGGGAAGCTTCCTGCCCTAGTGTGAAGACCCGGCGGGACTGAGGCATCGAGGAGGGCGTCCCAGTCCCAGGCTGCTTCCCGCTGCCTAGTTCCAGCAGATGGCTGGGGAGGGAGGGGGGCCTGTTGCTGGTGGCAACTGACTGGCCGCAGCCTGCAGGGTGGATCCCCCCCTCCCCCGCTCCCCGGAGTGCTCCGCCACGGCCTCCTGACTCCCGCCAGCCTGCCCTCCGGGAGTGAGGCTCTCCCTGCGCAGACGAGGCGGCCCCGGGAGGGTCTTCTGGGCGCGGGGGTGGGGGCAGCCGGACAGGCATGGGGTGCCCCAGGCGCTGTGGTGGTTGCCAGGACAGGGGGAGGAGGAAGCCTCCAGGCCATCCCCTCGCCTCCACCCGGCAGAAACATTGCGTGGAAGGGGAGGGGAGGGAAGGTGTGGGGCAGTCAGGTTGGAGCGTCGCCGCTGGATTCTCCGGGCAGGATCTCTCTGGCCAGTGCCCTCCAATGGAGAGGGGAAACTGCCGAGGGAGGGAACCTCTCTGCCACCGCCGCTGTGATAAACACCTTCCCGGAAGATTGATCCAGGTGGGTTGCCGCTGGGCTGGTCTAAGGCAGCAGCAGGCCACCTTTCAAAGCCCCGGTCAAAGCGCAGGAGGGAGGGGGCGGACAGAGCGGCAGCTGCAACTGGAGGCACCTCCCCCCACTCCTCACCGCAAGGCAGTGCCGCCTTCTGGCCGCGCAACACCACGCAGGAGACCTCTTCATCCCGTCCCCATCAGGAGCAGTGGCTTTAAAACCGTTATTGTACCATCATGGACTAAACCGGTACAGGGATGGCCGTTTCACACAGCCTTTCCCTTCCAATAAGGAGCTGTCTGAAGCAGTTTGTCATTTCAAATGGTGCCGCTTTCTTTTCCCGCCATTCCCTCACCCACGCGCATGATCTCCCTGACAGGGTGGTTTTTAAAAAAACATTCTATTAGGAGTGCTATGGCACTGAATCAGTACTACAAATCAGTGCCATAGAGACCCCATTGGGATGCCTGGACTCCATTTAGATACACTGATGTTTGCTACTGCTGTCCCCTGGAAACAAGAGGCTCACTGGATACAGAATTCAAGCGTGGGGGGGGGGAACTGGACAGTTTGGAAACTCAGGTAGCAGGCTATTCTGGTGCTTTTTAATTCATCAAAGCCCAAACTAGTAAAGCCCCTCCTCCTCCTTCTTTTTCATGCTGTGCTGGTACGTTTGTGCTTATTGCTCTTTTCAGTGATTTATTCTTTGAACAGACATGATAAATACAATGTCTGCCCCAAAAATACCTTTTAAAATCCATGGTGAGATGCAGTAGCGAACGTCAGTGTATTTAAATGGAGTCCAGGGAGCTCAATGGGGTCGCTATGGCGTTGATTTGTAGTCCTGCTGGAGCGCCATAGCGCTCCCAATAGAACATTTAAAAAAAGGACGATTGGGCGCGGGGAGAAAAAGGTTGCCAGAAGAACTGTCATTGCAGGAAGTGCTACAGGGGCATTTTACACAGCCCCCCATAGCACTTCAGAAGCGGTAGAAGGATTTAAAGACTGACTGGAAGCAGTTTGTAGTAAAAACGCTTCAGCCACGCTTCCGAAACAGGACAGAAGCGTTTCTGTATGAAAGGGTAAATATATTCTGTCAGGGAACCGTTACTAAAACGGTTCTGTCTGAAATGACAGACAGAAACCATTAGTGAACAGTTCCTGAAACGGAATATATAGGCTGTCTGAAATTCCTTAATGTCTGTTGATCTTTGACACACAAAGCTCCGCCCTCATTCCACAGGTAGCCCTATGGGTGGTTGCCATGGTCACCCTCTGAATCACCCTCCAGTCTTGCTTTTCTCCTCCTGCTAGTGGCCACGAGGACTTTCTTTTTTGGATGACAAGCAAAGGTTGGGTAGCCTACAAAATTCTTACTGCCAGCTTGAAAATGACTAATGATCTTGCCTGGTTGTTCGTGCTGGTCTTGAGGAGTGTCCTGAAAGAGACTGCTGGCCAACCACCCCCTCCAGGGTTTCGATATGCCTCTTATGAGGTGATCATCCCAAAGAGACAGACCCCCAGGTATGGGCACAAAGAACCCCAGCATGTGAACTACCTGCTGAAGATAGAAGGGAAGAGCCACCTGGTATACCTCAGGCAGAAGAGAGCCTTTGCTCCCCAACACTTTCCTGTTTTCACTTACAGCAAGGAGGGGGATCTGCAGGTGGACTATCCATTCATCAGGGATGACTGTTTCTACGATGGTTTTGTACAGGGCATACCTTCCTCTTTAATCATCCTCAGCATTTGCTCAGGGGGTCTTAGAGGTGTGTTGCGAATAGACAGTAAGACCTATGAAATTGAACCTGTCCCGATGTCTGCCACCTTTCAACATGTGGTATATCGACTGGAAGGACAGGAAGCTGTTGCATGGTGTGGGGTGACACAAGAAGAGCAACATCGAGAAGCAGCCATAATGGAAAATACAGAGAATTTAGCAGCTGAAAAGGATCAAGACATTCCTTGGCAGACACAAAGAATGTATGCAAAGCTTGCAGTTGTAGTAGAACATGAGCGATATGTCCAGTTTGGCAGAAATGAAACTATTGTTGTTTTGCAGCTGCTGGATATCATCCATTTTGTAGACTCATTGTATGTGCCACTTGGTATTCGTGTGGCCTTGGTTGGACTAGAAATATGGTCTGAAAGGAATTTCATTAATATTTCTGACAGTCTAGAGTCTGTACTTGCCAATTTCAATAACTGGAGAAAAAACACCTTTGTTAAACGTGTAGAACATGATGCAGGTCACTTACTTGTATATAAGAATTTTGGACATATGGTTGGATTTGCATATCTAGGAACAATGTGTAACCCCCTTTGGGCAAGTGGCGTTGAATCATATACTAGTACCAGTTTATTCTTTATTTCTAGCACAGTCGCCCATGAACAGGGGCATATTCTTGGTATGAAGCATGATGACAAGTACTGTACTTGTGAAAAGAAAACCTGCATTATGGCTGCCTCTCATACCGACAGTGATCAGTTCAGCAATTGCAGTTACAGGCAGTATTTCACTCGAATGAAATCTCATAGAGCAAAATGCGTGTTAATTGCCTCAGACCCCAGTAGACAGTATAAACCCACATACTGTGGGAACAAAGCAGTAGACAGCGGAGAGCAATGTGACTGTGGTTCAAAATTAAATTGTGAATCAGATCCATGTTGCCAGTCTGATTGCAAGTTGCGTTCTGGTGTCACTTGTGCTTTTGGAGAGTGCTGCTCTAAATGCCAGTATCTTCCGGCTGGAAGTCTTTGCAGGCAAAATGCTGGTGTCTGTGACCTTCCAGAGTACTGCAATGGGTCTTCAGAGTGGTGTCCTGAAGATGTTTATGTACAAGATGGTGCCCCATGTCCAGATGGTGCCTACTGTTATCATGGGAATTGTTCTACTCATAAAGAACAGTGCAAGGTGATCTTTGGCTCAAAAGCAACAGTTGGTTCAGAGGGCTGCTTCAGAGAACTGAATGCTCAAGGTGACCGCTTTGGCAACTGTGGTACTGATGGCACTACTTATAACAAATGCAGTACTAGGGATATTCTCTGTGGACGAATTCAGTGTGAAAACATTGATCAGTTATCTTCTTTGGAAGAACACAGCACCATAATCCAAACGCACATTAGCAGCAGTCTGTGCTGGGGCACAGATTACCGTAATGGAATAAAGACTCCTGATATTGGAGCTGTGAAAGATGGCACTCCTTGTGACAAAGATATGATGTGTATTAATAAGGAATGCACCAATGTGTCTCTCTTAAAATATGACTGTAATGTGACAAAGTGCCAAAATAGGGGAATATGTAACAGCCACAAAAATTGCCACTGTGATTATGGTTGGGCCCCCCCATACTGTCTAGATAAAGGATATGGTGGCAGTTTTGACAGTGGACCCCCTCCACCACACAAAGTCAGTGCAATATATATTATAGGACTCCTAATGCTCCTTGGCGCTGCTGTCATTGCTGCTGTCCTGACTGTATATCGCAGGGCAGAACTTTTTCAGTGGACTAGAGCTCTGATCTCAGGATTCCTTTCAACAAAGAGGTACCATGTCCGCTACTGAACATCAAAGTGAACAATGAATAAAGTAGTAAAAATATCAGGAAATAGTGCGTTCTCTTATAAATTTGTGTGGTATACATGCTATTCTGCAATAAAATACATTTGAGTTACACACTTTAGATTAATTTTAACTGTTTTTTTATGGAATTCATCTAATTGGCATAGAGGGTTCATCAGTAAGAGAGAAAATGTTTGTTTTATCTGGATGTTGTAGCTATCCTCCAACCTGAGTTGGAAAAACCCTACCTCCCAAGCAAAATATCCCAGGGTTAAATTCAAGATACTGATGAGGCCTTCTGTGGCATTGGCCTGAGATATCTGAGGGAGTGCCTTCTGCCACAGAAGATAATTTGCTGGTGGTTCAATCTGGCATCAGACTGGTGACCACTTCTGAGGGGGACTTCTTTGTTGTGGCCCCCTAGGCTATGGAGACAGTGCCTGCTGGGAATTTTGGGGTGCAGAATCTTACTGCTTTTAAGAGGGCCTCTGATTGTTTGGGTCTTCTCTCTTAGATATATTTTGTTAGTTGATTATGGTTTGCTGTATATACATTTATTTCCTGCTTAAACAGTAAATTGTGTTATTGGCTCTGTTTTGTTCTGTTTTATTGTTCTTTTATTATGCTTTGAAACTTACTTAGGAAGCCTGTTGTTGAGGAGTGAGACAGAAATCTCATAAACACATGGATAAAATACCTGAGTGGGTAAGAAACCCCCAATCCTGACTTCCGGTTTCGGCACATTGATGGTGGGCATGGTCCACCGAAGTTCTGGAGGGAGCAGCCCATGACCTGACAGCGGGAAGGAGGTCTGGCTGGTTCTGGACTCCCCCCGGAGCCCTTGTAGAGGGCTCTCAGCCTGGGGCACTGGGGGTGCCTCTCCCAAGGCTGAGGCCAAAGGATCGAGTCTCCTCCCTGCCCTTATAGGTCCCCGCTGTCGTGGAACCATTTTGGGCATGAAAAAAGCATACCGGACCAGCGAGCAACTGACCCGGCAAAAACAAAAAGACTTTCTCTTACCTGATGAAGCAGAAGATGAGTAAGATGTCAGCCTGGGTGCCCCCAAGAAAAAGCAGAGGGGGGGGGAGCTACCCACCCTTTGAAAATGGCAAAGTTTTAAAAGCATTAGAGGGGGCAGAAAGTGGTGGCGTTTGAGCGGACAGCTGAATTTAATCAGTACAATGTCAGACTGTTAAGGCATTAAAACAAATAAACTTCTAAAGACTTTTACAAAACATAAACAATGTCTATAGGGATGAAAAGATGGTGGCGAAAGCGAAACTTCAACAAGGAACTGCCAGCACAATACATCTGGTTTCTAAACCGGAAGTGAACTTTGACTTTGCAGGCATGCTGGATACTGCATTGCGACTTCTGGTGGCTCAGATGACTAACATCAGCAAGACCCTGGAGGCTTTACAAAAACAGCTAAAAGAATCCAACAAAAGAACAGAGGCAGTTGAAAACAAGTTTAAAGCAATTGACCAAAGACTGGAAGTTGTGAAAGAAGAAAGATCTTCAGATAAAACTCAACTTTTGCAGCTACAAATGGAAAAATCTTCATATGTGTTGAGATTTCAAGGAGTGCCAGAAGACAAATCCGAGAATCTGAAAGAAATCCTTAGTGAAGCGCTTGCACCAGTGACAGGCATCAAGGCGGAAGTATTACAAAGTGAAATGGATATGATCTACTGGACATATTCAGAATTTATTAAGGAAAAAAACCTGCCTGGTGAAATATATGTCAGATTCTCTAAGAAATCTATAAGAGATCCAATATTGAAAGCAACATCTGGGACTACACTGAAAATCAAAGAAGAAGACATCAGAATACTAAAAGACATTCCATTTGAGATAAGGAAGAAGGGAAAACAATACAAGAATTTAACCACCTTTCTATGGGAAAATACCACTACCTACCAATGGATACTACCTGAAAGCTTGATGTTCAACTACAAAGGCAAAAAAGAAAAGATTGACTCTTTTACTAAAGCGAAGCAGTTTTTGAAAAGACATCAAAAACCTAAAAAGGATACAAAGAACACAGAGGAAGAAGAAGAAGGAGAACAGGACAGTTCACATGGCTTGGAAAGCCATGAAACATCTGTAGATGGCAGCTCAGAAGTAGAATCTGAATCAGAATTGGGAGAAGCAGCACCCAAACCACCCCAAGACTATAAAAGCAAGGAGACATGAAGGAAAGGCAGAAAATAGCTTAAACTTTAGAATAAATGTTTATATTATACTATATAATCTTGCATTGTCAATAATTAATTTTTTTTGCATATCAATATAACAGAATTTTTATTCTTAACTAGAATAAGAGAAAAGCTTTGACTTAATATATTAATTACTAGCATATAAGGTCGTTGTTTAGCTGTAATTTTAGTGTGTAGTTTTGTATAATGTATGTAGAAAATAAAATAAAAATTATACATATATAAAAAAGAAAACCCCAATCCTAACTTATTACTATATGAATACAGCCAAAACTGCATCCATTTGCTGAGGAATTGTGACTTTCAATGTCAGCATCTTCTTCAGAGAATGAAATGTTCTCCTCAGGGGTCATTTCGTAGAAAAAGAGCTAGGGGGACTCATTAGCATAACTCATTAGCATATACCACACCCCCTGACATCACCGGAAGTGTGTCCTCCCCACAGCCGGCGGCGACCTTCAGCGGGCACCAGCAGGGAGCTCCAGGCCCCGCCCTCCCGCACCTCACCCGGGGGGATGGCGTCCCCCCGCATCCCCCCCCAAATGACCCCTGGTTCTCCTATTGATTTATGAAAGTTGCCATTGGGATGTAGTGTTTAGTGGTCGACTACAACTGGATATACTTGGGCTCAGATCCCCACTTAGAAGGAAACTTTTGCTCTAAGCCTGAGATGGGCAGACAGAAGAGCAGTGTGTGGGCTTACACACCTGTTCTAACATCTTTGACCTGCCCATCTCCAGTCTCTCATATGCCACGTCTTCCTTGTAACTTTTATGCTTGTGTCTCTTGATGTCTCCTCTTCCAAACCATTCAGTCCTGCTCACTGCTCCTTGTAGTTTACTGTCTCTGTTGTTCTGTTTCAGTTCACAGTGCAGCCCCAGTTACTTAACAGCACTTTATATTTTCATTGCTGCTACCCTTTCCCAGTTTTCCTGGATATCTAAAATACCACAGTTGAAAAAATATTTCTCTATTTTCTTCAATAGAAGCCTTTCCCTGCAGTGCAGTGACCCAGTTCCTTCTGCGGAGCAGAGGCAGCCTTGATTGGAATCGGAGGGAGGGGCAGTTTTAAGTTTTTATTTTGGTCTGCAGTGTTGTGTTTTATATAGGTATTTTTGGCTCTGCTTTTTAATTGGTTTTGTGCTTTTTATTATGCTTAACTGTTAGCCACCTTGGTGGTCCTGACTAGACAGAAAGGAGGGATATTAATGTTGTTTAAAAAAAAATAACCATGTAGCTTGCTAGGTAATCTTGGGTCAGTCACTGTTTCCAAGACTAGCCTACTTCACAGGGTTGTTATGATAAAATGGAAAAGTAAATAAACCCTTTGCATGGTATAAAGTCTGAGACTGAGGCATAGCGATTTCAGCTCATACTTTACTTAGGAAAAAGAGAAAACTGGAGATACAGTAGCCAGCCAGAGGCCCACTTTAAATACAATCACAAACCACACCCCAACACACACACACACACCTGATTGGATTATTTACAGTGTTATTGCAACCATAGGTTCCCTTGAGGATCCGGATGAGCCCATAGGCTGGTTCTAGGATCCTCTCCTATTGTCTAAGAATGCAAAGCTAGGTCAGTTCGCATGGCCACATAAGGGCAACCGCGTGCCATTAGAACACAACACACAGTATTTCCAAATGTTTTAGGGTTGCCAGCTCTGGGTTGGGAAACTCCTGGAAATTTGTAAGTGGACAGCACAGTCTGGGGACAGCAGAATGTGAGGAAAAGAAGGCGCAGGAATGTGTTTTCTCATAGAGTCTACTCTCCGAAGCTAGTGTTGTCCCTAGGGGAATTGATCCCTGTAGAGAGACAGAGAGCACAATCTTTTGTCTCAGAGTTGCCATTTTTGTATACAAGCTAAACATGTTCCTAGAAAGGAGAGGACTGAAGACTGCAGACGGGCATCGGCCAATAGTTACTCCCGAGAAGAACTACAAATCCCAGAATCCTCAGAGGCTCTTCCTGTCGTGAGGCTGATGAAACTGAAAGTATTGCGGCGGCCGCTGCCGTGTTTCACCTTCAAACGTGAAGAGAAGGGGGTGGGCAGGTGGGAGGCAGAGCCTTGCAAGAGAGCGAAGTATGAATGGAGGGGTGGACTATCTCCTCTCTGAGGAAGTGATCAATCTCACCAGAGGACCTTCAGGTACAAGGTCGTGGGTGGGAAGGAGGGAACGAAGAGGGAGGGAGGGAGGGGGCGGCGGCGGCGGCGTGGCCGAGGGTCTGCGGCGTGACACCCTGAGCTCTGCAGCTCCGCCTCCACCGTCTTCCTCCAGCGGCGACCACCAGCTCAGTCCTAGGTCTTTTTAAGCTGGCAGGAAAGCGCCCGGCTGAGGCCTGTATAGTGGTGCGCCTTGCTTTGAGTTGCAAAGCCGTTTCTAAAGACTTTCAGTGCGTGGGAGAGGAGAGCCTTTGCTTTAGCATATTCATAATAGACCCGTGGGAAGTGTTCCCAGTCGGTGCCGCTCAAAGAGCGAGGGAAGGCGCGAAAGAGGTTAGCCCGCATTGCACTCTGGTTCGCGTCGCATGCCTTTTAAGTTATTAAGTACACCTGGGTGGCTTTTAACGCTGCGGAGTCGTTAAATGTGTCTTTTCACTGAAAAGAGAAGGTTTGTGACCCCCCCCCCCCTAATAAGGGAAGAATTATATATTTTTCTAAAAGAGGGGGCTTAATTGAGGGTAATTTGTGTGTGAGTTTTGAGTGGCACTGGAACTTTATGCATTCCCCCC